GGCCTAAGGGGTGAGCGTGCGCCGATTCTGAGGGGCCGAGGGAAGGGGCTGCACCTGCCCGGAAAGGCCCCCCACTTCCTGAAGTCGGTCACCCTCTGTCCTCTCGGGCGCTGTGCCTGGGTCCTGAGCTGACAGCACTCTCGACACTAAGTAACGTCCCCAAGTGCGTCAGGGCACGTACAACCTCCCCAGCCAGCCTGGGACGGGGCTGGTGCGGGGTCCACGCTGCCCCCTCTGCTCTAGGACCCTGGGCTGAGCCCAGACCGGGGCTGGTGCCACGTCCCAGTGCCCCTGCAAAGCTGCCAGCAGCCGTCCCCATCTCTCTGGCTTGAATGGAGCCACAGAGAACACGGTTTTACCATCGTTGGTGGACTTGCCGGCTCTGAAGAGCCCAGAGCCCTGCAGCCTCCTCACTTCACCCAGAGCTCGGTCACCACCCAGCTCCCACCTTCGCCAGAAAGGACTCGGTCCCCGACAGGCTGCTGCCAGGGCCTGGACTGGGGTGCAGCGGCGTTTGTGTGTGGGGCCTCCCGCCCTCTCCAGCCCCGGGACCACCGGGGGCTCCGGGGAGGACACGGGACAAGGCTCTCAGCTGCTGCCCCCTCAGCAGAGCACAGGCCCCCGGGAGGAAGAGGCCGGTGAGTCCCCGAGGCCCAGGCTCTGCCCTTCCCTGTCCCCCGCTCCCGCCCCGCCCGCCCAGCTGCCGGGGGCCACACTCGGCTCAGACCCCTAGTGGCCTCTCGGCCCCGCCAGACCTCAGGGGGCGCGGGGCCCAGGCCCCCAGAGCGCCGCTCGCAGCCTGACAGCCCCACGGCCACGGCCCCCCCACTCACACGCCACAGCACGGGCACAGTGATCCCCTTACAGGTTACTTCCCAACCAGCCCAATTTTGTCTTCAAAATGTCGTGAAATGATAAAGAAAGAGACAATTGATCTTTACTTGGCATTTCGTGACATTTGCTGCTTCAGACGAACACAGGATGAAATACAGACCTGAACAGGCCCATTAACCCACAGAAAGCGGCTCTGCACTTGGGGGAGCCCCCTGCCCTACGCCGGACCGTGCACACCGGGGGTGGGGGGTCCCCCAGCAGGAACCGGCAGGTGCTTCAGGGCAAATGCCAGTCCATCCGGGCGCTGGCTTCCTCCCCAAAGGGTCGCCACGGTCGGGAAATCCACTTTCAACGCCCACAGGACGTCCCTGCTGGACGCGGGGAGGGGAGTCCTCCCCGAACGTCTGTGGGTCACAGTGCAGAACACCGCACAGTGGGTGGTGACGTGGGACCGTCCCCGGCCGCCCGAGGTGTCGGCGGCTGTGGTCTGAGGTGGGTGCTGGTCGTCTCCACTTCGTCAGGGGTGGGTTGTTTCTCTAGTAAACTTGGGACCAGCGGTAGCGAGGCTCTCAAGGTCGACGCCTTGGTGCAACCGGCCTCCTGCCCTTGGCGGCTTGCCGGGCTGTTCTCGGCAGCAAGCAGGGAAGGGACCGCGTGCAGGCTGAGTGTGAGGGCCCGGCTGCACCTGAACTTGGCCCGAGACGCTCCCTAAGCCTGCCTGCACTGCTCCTGCAGACCACGGGGTGCCAGGGACCCAGCTTTCCCCTGGTGGGCAGAGGGTGCCTCTAAGACCTGTCCCCAAGAAAACCCCTGGGTTCTGGTGCCTTTGGGGCTGCCCCAGGCAGGACCCCCCCAGCTGTGCCCCCGCCCGATCACAGCGACAAAACTCAGTCCTGAGCCCTGCAAGGGGCGGCCCCCCGACTTGAAGGTGTGAACATCACAGCCGGTGCGGAACTCCCGGGTAAGACGGTGTCTGGAGCGCTCTCGCTGTTTAAACTGGTCCGCACTCCGTTAGGGATGTGTGTGTTCACACTGTGCGTGGGGTCAGGCCCTGATCTCACTTTTCTAGGTTCTGGCTCGTGTGGTAAGAAGCGAGCACTCGGTCCAAGGGGCACACGCCTCCACGCCGTCCCAGGCCGGGGACGGGGGACGGGGCGCGTGGGAGTGTGGGAGGGCCCGGGAGGACGCACACCGGGAACGGGGGCCTCTGGCGGTGCCGGAACTCATCCCCAGACTACGGGCCGTCCAGGTTGTTTCGAACCTCGTCTCGAGGCAATTTTGGCATTTTACTCTCTGCCCAAATCTGTCAATTTCTCCACCCAAACCCGGAGGCCTGTTGGTCCCGGTTAAGACCCGCTGGCCTCCCTGACATTTCCAAATGCCCCTGAGATACAGCGACTTAACAATTCCACCACCTGTGTCCTGATCCGTTTGTTTATTCTTACTCATTAGTCCCTTCGCCATCTTCACATAAGTCGCCTTTATTTTTCCACACAGAATTTCTTCGGCTCAAAGGTCAGTTTATTTCGTAAACGTCCGTGAATCGCAGAAGCGCCCTGGCTGTGAGGTGGCGACCAGCCCTCGCGGCCGCGCCCGCAGATGTCCAACCAAGGCCGCTGTGCAGCTGGGCCACCACCGGCAGGGCCGCTCCGCTGAACAGGCTCTTCACTCCCCAGACACCGACTGCCCGCTCTCACGCTGCCCGCCGCTGGTCTCCGAGGGAGGGCGGCCCTCGGCAAACGCACCGCTCGGGCCCCCGGAGGACACGGTGTGGCCTGCACCCCCAGACCTGGGCCCCTCGGAGGCCGGGCCGGATGACGTACTTTGCGGACATCCCACAGACACCTGGACCAATGACGCCGTCACCGTCTGCTCAGTTTCAGGTCCTGCCAGGCCCCCGCCACCCCGTCCTCACTGTCCAGGCTCACAGCAACCTGGCGTGTCTCCTGCCAAGGCGCCACCAGACCCCTGCGCCGGCCGCCTCCAGCTCCTTCCCGGTTCCAGGAAGTTCTCCGTTCGCTGAGCTGAGAGAAGAATGTGCCGATCAAGACGTTCCAGGATGAGGAGCGAGCCCTGGGCCCACCCTCCCGGGAGCTTCTGCCCCGACAGTTCTGACCAGAGGTGCCGCCAGGAGCCCCCGGGCTTCAGCCGTGTCCCCGCATGCTGCCGCCCCCGTGTGCTGGTCAGAGCTCCCCGCACCAGCCGGCTCCGCTCCCACGGGGCTGCCGCTGCTCCCCCTTGGGGTGTCTCTTGGCTCCTCAGACTCCGCTGTCGGGCCCCCCTTTCTCTGCTCGGAGTCTGCTCCCTACACCCCTGCCTCTGCCTGCCGCCTCTCCCCAGCGCTCCTGTGCCGGCCTTTGTCATTCCACGGTCGTCCTCCACCACGTCTGGGGTCCTGTCCCGCTGACTCGGGGCTCCCCTGACTGGGGGGCAGGGGACAAGGCCTGCCCGACTGCTGTTTCCCCTCCACTCGCCTCCCGACCCGCCCGCCCTCACGGCCCTGTGTTCCCCACAGCAGGCCAGCCGCACCAGACCCGCTCTGTCCCCCGGCCACCCCACGCCGCCCTCCCCAGTCTGACACCTGCACCCTGCCCCCCCCCCGTGACTGCCACCCCTCTGCTGTGGGCCTGCTGCTCCCGGCCCCACCCTGAGAGTGACCTGCCCCTTCTGTCCCTCCCTGGCCACCGCAGCCCCTCGTGGGAGGGATCCCAGTCTGGTGACGCACCACACGGGGCCTGGCCCGGGGAAGTTCTGAGGGGTGTGGTAGACCAGCATGGGGACACTGCCCCAGGGCCTGGGACAGCAGGGGACAAAGGCCCTTCCACGATGGGCCACCCTGGACCAGAGGGCAGAGTGCAGGCTGGACGGAACGAGACCAAAGGCCTGAGCGGGTCTCAGAAGCCAAGGTGTGGGAGAGGCTGCTGCCCCGCCGGCACCTGCAGGCTGGGCCGCGGCAACGCCGGGGGGGCCTGCCTTTCTCTGGGAAGACGTCCTCCTCCAAAAATGATTCTGTTCCCATGGAGATGACGCAGAGAACCATGTTATTTCCCACAGGGCAGATCGCAGCCCCACCAAGGTTGGGGCTTGGAGAGCCCCCTCCCTGAACACCCCCTGCTGGAGGCGGCTTCGGGCCTCGGCCGCTCGGCTGTCCTCCGTGGGGCCAGAGTCCCTTTCCTGAAGTGCCGCCAAGCAGGCACAACTCCGGTGCCCACCAGGGTGCCCGGGTTCTTTATCTGACCGGTTCCTCGTCCCGTTTGGTCCGATCTCCAGCTCCCTGGGGCACGCAGACTCGCTCCCCCTCCAGCCCCCACGACGGCAGAGCCCAGTTCGTCTCAAGTCTCAGGAAGAAGCAGCCTCGCACCCCCCACCCCGCCCAGCCCTGTGCAGGGCGCGCAGGCCCCCAGGTTCTTGCCGCAGAGCCAGTGGGCTGGGCCTGTCCCCTGTCCCCGCCACCCTCCAAGCTAGGACGGCCCGGTCCACGCCGGCCGAGCAGCAGCACACGCGCCCTCACGGCCCCCGGCAGGGCCTGGCCCCCACCAGCCCGAGCGCGCGGTCCAGGCCACCCCGGCCTGCCCTCGCCTGGCAGAGGAGGGGCACCTCCAGCCCGCGGGGGCGGAGCCCAGCCCTGGTCCCCACACGGTGTCCTCCTCACTGCGCTTCGACCCTCAGACGGTGACCCCACAGGGAGTCCGGCCGCCACGCACAGGCCCACAGCGGGGAGCGTGGGCCAGGGACTTGGCCACACGGGGGCCCTAGGTGGGTGCAGAGCCCGATGAAGGGCGCGGACGTGGCTCTCCCCACACGTCAGTGAGGAACTGGGGTCCAGAGAGGCTGACCCTCGAGCCCCAAGTCACACAGCTACCAAGTGTCTGCGCCTGGGCCCAGCACTTTCCCTGACTCGCCCCGGGCCAGTGCCACCCCTGCGGGGGACAGGCCCGGCGGCGCGGGGAGGGCTCCCGGAGCCTGGGGGCAGCCATGCCAGCAAGGCAGCCGGCAGGTCAGCTGCCTCTCCCGGCAGGCTCCGCAGCAGAAGGGGCCGGGGTGGGGAAGGCGGGCTGCCCGCCGGCCTCCGCGTGCCCTTCCCAAACAACCCCGAGAGCTGAGGTGGGAAGGACCCTCCCCGCACAGAAAACCAAACGGGGGCCTTTTGCAAGGCGCTCACTTACTTGAAAATCTCCTTCTTCGAGTATCTCCTTCCTCCACCGCACCAGGAAAGCGGCACAGACGTACAAGTGGAAGCGGGAGAAGCCCTCGGGCTCAGACTGCAAGAGGGAAGGCACGGCAGGGTCAGCGAGAGGCCGGGCGGCCTGTGCAGCCGCCGGAGCCGGGCACCCACGCCCCCGTCTCGGTGGGGAGGGTGCAGTCCTCCCCGAAGGGCCAGCCGCCCAGGAAACTGGGCGTGGAGAGCAGACCAGCCGTCAGCAAGTTCAAAGCCGGTGTCTGCTCTCTTCCCCTGCACAGGTAACAAGCAGCCGGCAGAGAGAGAGAGAGACACGGCAAGGCCCGTGGGTGGGGCCCGTGACAGGTGAGGACAGCCGCCCACAGAAGCCAGTGCCCCGCCAGCCGAATGGGAGGGGGTGTGGAGCGGGGGGTGACCGGGCCAGCCCCCACACCCCCCCGGCCTCGTTCTCCTGGGCCCTGCTCCGGCCGGTGCCCCGGCAAATGCCGGCACTGACACGGCTTCTTCACCCTCTGCACTGACCCTCTCTCCCGTTTTCTAGGCCGAGAGTCTCTTCCTTTGCAGTTACGTTCTTTAAAAGCACACCAGCGGCCTTTGGTGTGTTCTGCGTCAGGAGGGGCCTTCTGGTCCCCAAGTCCACCAGTCACCAGAGTGGGAGCCATGACGCTCTCGCTAATTTGCATTAACAGACAGAAGCGTGGAAAAGTAAAACGTTTGTCTGGGTTGGAACTAAATCAACTAACAATTCAAACTCGGCGAGACGCCACGAAGGCCTCCGTGAGGCCCGCTGGGCGGTGCACACCGCCCCCGCCCTGGCCGGCACGCAACCAAGACACGCGTTCCAAGCAGGCCCCTACCATGACACCAGGCTACCGAAAGATGGCCATCGCCTTTAGGACAGTGTCCAGACCCCTTAACACAACACGCGGCCCCTGAAGCCGAGCTCCGCCCCCAGCTGACCTTGGACCTTCTCGGTGCCCCCAGGCCGGACCCTTTCAGGGGCTCCTCCCCGTCCCGGTCCCGGCCCGGCAGAGCCTCTCCCTCCCCAAGGCCTCCCGCTCCTCCTCTTCCTGGGTCGCTGCTGCCTTCTCCCCGGCATCATCTTCAAGGCTCACAGGTCCCTTCTCCCGCTGCCCCGGTGGCCTCTCCTGCCCCTGGCCCCACGGCAGGACTGCAGACGGAATGGAGGGACACCCCAAACCCATTCTTCCAGGTGCCGAGTGCAAAAACACACACCCTCAAAACCACAAACTCTAAAAACCGATACATCTGACCACACAAACACTTGAAGTCTGCGTGTAACAGAGGCAGCACAGTGGCGGTGCCGGTGCGGTCGCGGAGCAGGATGACAGCCCGCAGTGCACACAGGACGGCGCCGGACGGGCATCTGGGACACAGACGCGGAGCCAACCCCTCGGAGCCCCCAAGGAAGAGGCACAGCGGGCCGAGCAGTCGGGACGCACAGGCAGAGCCTCGCTCGCTGACTGGCAGTCCTGCGGGGGACACGGGCCCTAGTTCTCCAACGGGCGGGCCCTGGGGTGCAGGACTGGGTGGGGCTGCTGCTGGGCGGAGGGCGGTCTGTCCCAGAGCCCGAAACTTTCTTCCCCAGTCACAGCACCTCCACACAGGGCAGGAGACACGTGCAAGACTGCTGCACTAGAGCAGGTTACAATTTCCACCGGAAAACTTTAGAAACAAAGTAAAGCAGGAGAACGGCTACATTGTAGCACAGGCGTGAGGACAGATGAAACACAGCTCTATCCACCAAGGTGAACAAACACTGAAAAGATAACAAGCAGGGTGCGCAGGAACGTCCGAGTGTGACGCCTTCACAGATCACTGCGGAGCGCTGGCTGGGGCAGCCCCTGCTGTCCACGGGTCCCCGCCACGCGGTGACAACGCCGAGGCCGGTTGGGAAATGACCGAGACCTCCTCTGGAGAGGAAGGAAGGAAGCTTCAGTGGTGGGAGTAAGATTTAATTTCTAAGTGAGCAAGAGGAAGAGCTGAGGCAAAATGGAACAACAATTAGGCTTGACAACGCTGGGCAGTGAACCACAGGCGTCCATCAATTACCTGCACTTCCTGCACATTTAAGACTTTTCATAATTAACACAGACTGAGGACTAACTCAAACCGTCTTTCTCAGAGTCAGCAAGAGGCCTGTCTGCTTGAGTGACCACTGCTGGCTGCAGCCCTGGCCACCTGGTCGGCATCCAGAATCCGTGGCCTCAGCTGCGCCCCACCTGGGGGTTCTGGCCTCCACGACCTTGGGCAGCCCTGCTCGGTGCCTCCTCCCGGACCCAGGCCCAGGCTGCGTCAGCCTCGCCCCAGCCCTCCCTCCACTTGGCCTGGCAGGTCCTCACGGGCAGGGCTGCGGCCGGGCTGGCTCCCCGGCCAGGGGCCAGCTGGGTGTCCCGGAGCACTGCGCCCCCCCGCCTCCCCTGCCTGCACCGGCTGGCGGCAGCTGCCCCCGACAGGAGGGGCTTTCTAAAAGCTGCACTTCAGGCTCTGCAGTGGAGCTACTTTTGCTTATAACATGAAAAAATTCAAGTTCAAAATGACTGCAGATAAACTAAATGCAAATTACTTACGCATGACATACTTTCTGAGATGTAGGAAGGGAGACAAAAAGACAGTTTTCCTTCCACTTTTTCTAATAGAGAAAACGTAATAAAAGAAGCGATGTTTCACCTTTAATTGCATCATTAAGCTTCTTCATAATTTTTGGCGCAGAAATAAAAACGAACCGGCCTTCTGGCGTCAGGAGATTTTCCGCGTCTATGCGTTCGGGTGGGCGTATTTCTGAGGCCGTTCCAATGACAAGAACCGTCTCTTATCCTGCGCGCGGGTTCGAGTGCGCCCACCTCAGCTGCACAGGCGAGCCCCCTGCTGTGATTCTCTGAAATACTCATCACGGGGCCGCCCTGCGCCACTGTCCCCTGCAGGGGACTCAGAGCACCTGTGGGCGGGGGGAGGAAGGGAGGGAGACCTCGGTTTGCCTGCAGCCGGCCCGGCAGGCAAAGGAGCCAGCCCCGCCCACACCTGTGAGCGCCGGTCTGCTGTCTCCACGCCGGGCTCCATAATGGCTCACAGGACGCCGACTGGCCTGTCTGTCCCCATCTGGGTCGCAGCCCACCAAACCCGGCCTGAGAGTCGCCAGAGCCCCGGGGCGTCTGGGGAGGAGGGTGGCCCGCAGCGGCTCCTGACTGGAACGAGCACTTCAACACCACGTAGAACGAGAAACACAGAGCAGGACAGAGGACACTGAAACGTTTAAAGGTCCCTAATAAATGTTTGCTCTGTGGCTGGCGCGCTCACCAGGGCTCCCAGAGACGCAGAACAAGGTGTGGGTGTGGGTGGGACCGGAGACCAGAGGACACGCACCTAACAAGACCATGTCCACCACGGGCCGCCTGAAGCCAAGCTCCCTCGGCGTCACATCAGCGCCGTGGTGAGACGCCACCTCGCAGGGGCAGTGCTCGGGGACAAGGGCTGACACTGAGGAGCCGGCCCATGCAGCTACGGGGGGCCGGCAAGTTCAAAATCAGAGGAAAGGCCGCAGTTCAACGCCAACCCTGCGCAGAAAGCTCCCAAGTGGTGGCCGACCCGCACTCGGCATCACGGCCCAGCTGCCCCAGGGGACGGGGCGTTCTGGACACTGCAGGAAGCGGGCCGGCTCTCCGCCCCTCCAGTGCCCCCTCCCTGTCACCATTCGTTTCCCGAAACCACTTTTTTAAAATTTTGTGAACTCTGCTGCCTTCAGACCCTGGCGTCCCCAAGTGCGTTTTACAGCGAAGGTTTCTGCGTGAACGAGATGCTCCGGGCGACCGGGGGCACGTCTGCAGGGGGAGCCTGCCCGCCCGCAGGTCACGTCTCACCACAGTCCCGTTTCTCTCAGCGGCGCTCCGAGGCTTTTGGCGGGAAAGCCTTCGATCTCCGGTTGAACTGACCCCTAGGTGCTTCCATGAACCTCACGTCGTCACAACTGGCACTGGTCTCGGAACTTCACCCTCTACCTGTTCGTGACGCACACGGAGACCCAGCCGGTCCCTGCGCCTCGATCTTCGCCATCCACCGCGCACCCAGTGTCTTCGCCGGTTCAACTCTTCTTGCGGGAGACGCGTTTTCGGGAGTGCGGGCAGCTCCCCTCTGCCCCCGCCGTACGCCGTCCCTGCCGCCCGAAACCCCTGCCCAGCCGGCAAAACGTGGCACTGCCCAGAGGGGGGGGCGGGACGTGAGCGGCAGCGCCCAGCACAGGCCCCGTGACAGACGCCGCCTCCCCCTGCTCCGAGGTTACGTGCCGCCCATCACGCGAGGCTGCGTCTCCCGGCACAGTCTCGTGCTGTCGGCCCTTCCCCGTCCCAGGGCTCGGTCACCTCACGAGGGCCGGGCCAGCCCCCAGTCCCGGGACAAACCCCACTGGGCCCCACGCCGGCCGGTGTCCTCACATGCCACATGACTTAACACGCAGGCCCATCGGCTTATCACCCTCTTTTCTCTCAACATCCTCGTCTCACTCCGGTGTTCGCTGCGCGAAGAAAAAGGGCTGAGAAGCGTCCTCCACACTGCGAAGGAATCTGTCTGTGGTCGGTGGTGCTGCTTCAGCGTCCGAGGGCCCACCTGCGGAGTCGGGGGGCCTCCCTCCGGCGTCTCGGGGGTGCCGCTCCTTCCAGGGTGAAGCTGGGTGCCGTGGGCCATGAGCCCTCTTTCTGTCATCAGCCGTCTTCCACCCTCCACTCCCACTTCCTTGGAGACCAATCCCCTCTTCTTTCCCGGCTTCTAACAGTGGGGAGTAAACTGGCCGACTTTCAGCTCTTACAGGGACACACGCGTTCACCAGGCCCCGAGGTGGCTGCGCCCCCAGCTCAGACGCCCCCTTACTGGTCCTCGGTGCCCAGTGCTCTCTGCCCACCCTGTGCCACCTCCAGCCCGGTTCCTCAGCTGCTTGTGTCCACAGCCCTGGTGGCTCTCCCGTCATCCTGTCGTGCCCAGACAGAAGCGCTCAGCTGGCGTCCGGGCTCTGCCACCCTCAGACTCGCCGCCCTGTGGGCGTGGTCGCTGGGCACGTCCAGTGTCGGGGGC